GCTTGAGTAGTTCTAAAACTGAATATATGGAGTGTAATTTTAGTAGCAATAGACCTAGTGAGGGGATTGTGACTTTGGACAAGATAAAGTCATTAATAAGAGTACACGTTTTAGATATCTTGGGATCTATTGTTCGGAGTGATGGTGAATTGATGGGGATATTATTACAGAATTCAAGTTGATGGTTGAAGTGGAGGAATGCATCGGTCTTATTGTGCGATAGAAAAGTCCCCCTCAAACTTAAGGGAAATTCTATAAGATGGTGGTGAGACTGCAATGCTATGGTGCCGAATGTTGGCCATTAAAAAGAGAAGCATAATACTAAGTTAAGTATTGCAGAGATGAGGATGCTTAGGTGGATGAGTGGCTTGACCCTTAGAGATATGATACGAAATGAGCATATGATGTAGACAAAGGGGGGGTCAACACAAGTCCAAAATAAATCAGATTTTGGCTTCCCTTGAGTCTACTAGCTCAATCCAATTGAGCTAGAATTTTAGCTCATTTATGAGCTAGGCTTTTAGTTCATTTTTATTGAACTAGAGGTTAGCTCATTATTAGCTAGGATTTTTAGCTCATATTATCTTTAATTAATGCAATTTTATGCTTTTTATGTTTGTCTCTTGGAATTCCAAACCGGCCTTTTGGAATTCCAAGATTTCTTTTTTCCCATGGTGGCTCCTTGAAATTCCACCATGGCCTTTTAGTATTTTGTGTGTCTCTTGGGATCTCACGGCTGGGCTCATTCTCCCGTGGCCGTGGCTCTTTGGTCCGTGCGGTTCCTCGTTTCCCGCGGCTGTGGCTCTCGGTCCGTGCAGTTCCCTTCGTCTCCCGTGGCTGTCTCCTTGGTTCCTGGTTTGGGTGTAAACCAGAGCTTGGGGGGGAAGTTTTCTATGCTTTTTAATGCTTAGGTTATTGTGTTAATTAAATGTTTGTGTCCTTTTGTATTCCCCTTTCATACCTATAAATATGAGGGGTTATGTAATGTTTTGAATAGTTGAATGTGATATTTGATTTTTGGAAAAAAAATCTGTTAACCTGCGGGTTGCTTGGAAATCCTGCGGGCTCTTTCCACCCTTCTTTTCTCATCCCCTCCAAAATCCTGCGGGACTCTTTCCAACCTTTCTTCTCGGGCATCTAACCTTTCATCTCTCCGCAAGTGCCACTCCACTTGTATCCTTATTCTCCAAGTGCAGCAACTTTAGGGTGTCTTTTTATTTTTATTTGAAGTCGTTTGTATCGAGTCGAGTTTTGTAATTTTATTTCTTTTATTTCTTTAATTTGAAATATAAGAGTTTGTTCGTCGTTTTTCTCGTCTCTTTTTCAATTTCGTTGGTAGAAGTCCGTCGTCTGTTAATGTCGTGCAAGAAATATGCTTGGGATCTTGTGAACATTAACTAAGGTGGCTTTTGGCATTCCTCTACTTTGCCTATAAATAAGAGAAGATGTTAAGAATGAAGGCAGTTGATATTTGTGAGCAAAATTGCTATTAACCTGCGGGTTGCTTGGAAATCCTGCGGGCTCTTTCCACCCTTCTTTCTCATCCCCTCCGGAAATCCTGCGGGCTCTTTCCACCCTTCTTCTCGGGCTTCTAACCTCTTTCGTCTCTCCGCAAGTGCCACTCCATCTGTATCCTTCTTCTCAAAAGTAAAACAACTTTAGGGTGTCGTATCTGGGTTGATTTGAAGCATCTGTTGAAGAGATTGGATAATCTTGCAGTGGTGGACCATCGGTTTGCTAGTTCTATGCACTTTTCTTATTTAACCTACAATTTGATGCATGTGAGGAACCCGCTCTGACGGTTGTCTGAGGATAGCATTTTTTTTATTTCTTTAAAATCTCCTAGTATTTCTTGTTGTGTTTGTCAAGTTTTAGTTGTCTGCTTTTATTTATTAAAGTTTATTTTAAGTTCTACCCATTGCGTCAGTTTATTTCTTATGTGTCTACATCAATAAAAAACTAAGCAAAGTATCTCATCATTCTTTATTGAATATCATCTTTTTTTTTATTTCTTTTTATTTTCATCTTTAATGCACTTCACTTGATCTAAATTCTTACCACTCCTATTTCTTTGTTTGGCTGACTTATACATATATCTTTTGTTTTCTTTAGTATCTAGTGTTTCATATAAATCTTTAAAAACAAAAATCTTTTCATTGTAGATTGTTTTCTTAGACTCCTTACAGGCCTTTTTAAATCTTTCCCAATTTTTAGAGTTTTTATTTTCAAATTAATTTTTAGAAACAAATTTTTATTTTTGATATTTTCTTGCACGTTTTGATTTCACCATCAACTATTTTTACTATTAGGATTTTTTCCTTTTTATACTCCAAGCTTATACTTTGCAACATTTTTTATATTACTGGTTACTTTTTCTTATAAAACATTAGCTATCTTATGCACAAACAAAATTTCAAAATCTCGAATTTTACTCATAAAAATTTTATTAGTGTTCTTTAAATGCCCCCATCTAATCGTAGAACAATGTTTTACTTATTTTTCAAATTCTGTTCGTTCATCTTAATGTTCAAAACTAATAAGCGATGTTGGATTCATAAATTTTTCTTTGAAGTAATTTTACAATCTTTGCAATCTAAGCGATTTATTTTTCTTATAAGAAAATAATAAGTCTGATTTTTACTATATTCATTCTTATATGTGATGAGATGCTCATTTTTTTCTTAAATAAGGTTTTAGCTCTTACAAAATCAAAAGCTAGAGAAAAATTTAATATAGGCTTCGTTTGGGACAGCTTTCTTCCCGCTTCTTAAAGCGGCTTTCTAGAACAAAAGTTAAATAAGGTATTAAATTTTATGAAAATTTTCACTTTCTAGAGAAAACTCTCTCTCTAGACCTGAAGAGAGAAAGTGGAAGATGAAGGGACTTTTTGTGGAGCTGTATGGAAGACTTTTTTGTGAATGCGTTGGTGGTGTGAGGGATGAATATGGAGAAATCAAATTTTTAGGGTTAAGGTTTGGTTTAGGTTTTGGAAGATGGGTGATGAGGAAGAAGGTGGGGAAGAGAAAGAGGAGAAGAATGAGAGAAGAAATGGAAGAAGAAGGAAGAAAATGCAAGGAGAAAGAAAGAAGAAGAAAGAAAGTGGAGCGAGGAAGGAAATAAAGAAGAAGAAGAAGGAGAAGTGAGTTACCTTGGTGGTGGTCAGATTGGTGGCTGGCCAGCAGCGTTTTGGGATCATGCAAGAGGAGTTTTTATTAGGTCCGGACACTTGACGTAGCTCTACATCCAAACACCAATAAAATATCGCCACACACTCTTACTCTTTACTGCGCGGCCCGACGACCCGATCCGGAACGGAAACCCGGTATTGCTATGTTTATGTATTGCTAGGTATTGCTTGACAATAACAAGAAATACCGCTCTGTCAAGACCAATACCGAGCAATACCTAGCAATTCTGAGCAATACCTAGCAAAACTGGGGTATTGCTCGGTATTTTTATGTATTGGTCTTGACAGAATGGTATTTCTCGTGACCGAGCAATACTGAACAAAACCTAGTAATACTCTGGTCTGTACAAATCAGCTAATACATAGCAATATTGGGTTCCAGTCCGGGTTCGGTCAACAGGCGCTCTGTCAAGACTAATACCGAGCAATACCGAGCAATACTTAGCAATTCCGAGCAATACCTAGCAAAACCGGGGTATTGCTCGTTATTTTTATGTATTGGTCTTGACAGATTTGTATTTCTCGTTACCGAGCAATACTGAGTAAAACCTAGTAATACTCTGGTCTGTACAAATCAGCTAATACATAGCAATATTGGGTTCCAGTCCGGGTCCTGTCGTCGGGCCGCGCGGTAAAGTGTAAGCGCACGTGACGACATTTTATTAGCGTTCGGATGTAGAACTACGTCAGGTGTCCGGACCTAATAAAAATTTGTGCAAGAGAGGACCTAAGAGAGAGCCGAGTGGAAGAAAGGAGAGGTCGGGTCTTGCCTGAGTTTGGCATGAGAGGGTTGGTTGGGAGCATGTGGGGGAGTGTTACGTGAGATGAGGGTTTAAGTGAGGGTATTTTAGGATTTTAGGAAATTTGATTTTTTTAAGATCTCTCTCTCTCTCTGTTTAAATTATTATTTATAGTTATATGGTATGAATTTCGTTTTTAATCTTGCCTCAGCTCGGTTGTCACATTGTCGTCATTCGTGTGCGTCGTCGCTTCGATCTATGCACACGAAATTTAAACTTTTGCCTATCGACGACCCCAATCAATATGAGTGTCGATCTTAGCTCTATTTGTTGCTCTAGACACACTGGTACTGTCCAATTCGCGAATGGAGGCCATTTTAGCAATTTAGGTCTTTGGTCGATGCGTGTTGGGTGAGTTATGCACGATGTCGCACTCTTTCTATTTCGAAACTTACTTTACGCGGTCGACTCAATCCTAACATTAGTATTGAGGTCAATAAGAAGTAGGTAAAACTTGAAAGAATGCATCAATCTCCTGCAATAGCATTATATACACACATATAAACATGAAATTTAATAGAATACAAGCTCTTGTCTACAGACAACTTGTACCGTTCATCCTCATTTTTGAACAGTTGATATGTAAATTAGATCATAATGCTTTTTCAATTTTGAATGTCATATTTAATAAGCTAAAATGTATTTTAGTTCTCAACCATTCAAATATGTGAATTGACGGTGTATGATATGTGACAATATGAGCTCGTATGTTTCTAAAATGATTAGGGTTCCTATCCTGCTAAAAGGAATGGATGTCAAGTACAATGCGTAAAACTGATCTGAATTCCATACGATTGAAATTGGCAGTTTGGCTGCTAATACTGCTATTTCTTTCATAACTTTTTTTTTAATGTTAGAACTTGTTTATGTTATTTTAAATTGGATATTTATTTTGTGCATTTGAATTTTTTTAAGATGGTGATCTTGATGAATGAAATTAATATTTTGTTCTTTAGCTAAATTGGTCAAGAAATTTGTAATTCTTTTTTTTGGTGTCTCATGCACATACGTAGATGACCTGCGTTCTTCAATTTGATGGTGCTTCTAAAGGAAATCCTGGGATGGCTGGTGCTGCAGCAGTACTACGCAATGGAGATGGGAGTGTGGTAGGCATTTGACATTTGTTTACCATCCAATAGTCTCAGTAATTTATTATCTTATTATTTTACAGATTAAAACTCCTCTTAATGGCCGAGCTCTTACTCTTTTGAATGAAGGTTTCTTGTATTCGTGAAGGCTTGGGCATTGCAACCAATAATGTGGCAGAATACCGTGCTTTAATTTTGGGGATGAAATATGCTCTCATGAAAGGCTTTAAGCATATTCAGGTGCAAGGTGACTCGCAACTAATTTGCATGCAGGTGTGTCTTTCATTTTATCATTATTGTTACGGCATCAAACGCATGAGTATTCTTTGGCAGAATTATTATGAATTAGATTAATTAACATTCATTTAAATTTTGATGGTAATATTTACCAGTTAGAATCTCAGAAACTATACTCAGTACACAATGCTTTTAGTTTAGAAGCATCAAATGTTTATAAATTATGCATTAGCCAATGGTAAGATTTTGAATCAATAGCTGTCAAAATAGTAAATTAGTGACAGACCTTCGTGCATAAATTTTAGAGTTGCATATTAAAATTATCCCCACCTCTAGTAGAAATGAGGCCTACACCTGCCTTATAAAAAAAGAAAAAGGTGAAATGGACTTGAGTGCTTCCATTAACAATATATAATGGATTTGATTAGTAAATAGAAAGAAAAATGCTGTTATAAACTTCATGTGTTTCAACCATCACTTTTCTATTTTTATGCAATTATCTAATCATTATTAGATTGCAATCTTATAGTGTAAAATTTTGAGTGTAAATAATTAATGAGTTTCTTTTGTTATTTTGTAAATGACAATAATGAATAGTTTAATTTTGATATTTAGTGAGTATGACTATATTAGGCAAGTATACCTATCAATTTAAATTTAAATTGTTAGTGCAAAGTATCACAAAAACTTCATGTGTTTAACCATCACTTTTCTATTTTTATGCAAATATCTAATCATTATTAGATTGCAATCTTATGGTGTAAAATTTTGAGTGTGAATAATTAATGAGTTTCTTTTGTTAGTTTGTAAAATGACGATAATGAATAGTTTAATTTTGATATTTAGTGAGTATGACTATATTAGGCAAGTATACCTATCAATTTAGATTGAAATTGTTAGTGCAAAGTCTAGCTTTGCCCTTTCATTATCACAAAGGAAAATTCTAATGTATTTAATAAGACCCAAATAGAAATTAAGATAAATAAGCCATTTAAATTTCTGCCGATAACTTTAGTAATGATGTTCTTATTCTAAGTTTTAGTAGAGGTAAATCACTGTTAAAATAAAATAAGGTAAAACTCATCCTACACAACTTAGAGTGATACATGTACTTGGATTAAAAGAGGTAGTGAAGAACCATCATAATTGGCTTCTTCAATAATTCATTCACTAATCAATAAATAATATAAAAGTCCATACAAACAATCTTATTTATAAAGAAAATTATATACCCTAAGATAAGAATGAAATTGCCATTATTCTTATTGTTAAAACTAAGAATTAGAGAGGAAAAAGCTTACTTTATTATACAATATACTCCCTATTTATAGATCTATACAAGAGGTCTAATGAAGAAACAAATAACTACAGAATAATTAATAATTGCTAAAATAAAATCCTTCCTAAATCATATGTCTAGCTATGGAAGGTACTCAAAGTGTTTCTAGAAGGCTTCCCACGGATCTATCTTTGTAGTCGTTGGATCTATGAGGGCACTGAGGGTTGAGATTTAACACTCCCCCTCAAGCTGGAGAATACAGATCTATCATTCCCAGCTTGTCAATCATTCTGAGAAGGATAGAGTTGTCCAATCCCTTAGTGAGGAAATTTGCAAGTTGATCTTTAAATGACACATGATTGATACATATGAGACCACTGTCTAACTTTTCTTTAATAAAGTGTCTGTCTACCTCTATGTGCTTGATCCTGTCATGCTGGATTGAATTGTGGGCTATGTTAATTGCTGATTTGTTATCACAATGTAGCTTCATGGGATTGATGTAGAACCTATATGCAAGGATGAATAGATTGAGGAACTTGCATGATTAATTTTAGAATCCACAATAATCATATCTTTATATTGATTTTAAATGACAAAAGAAAACATAGAGAGCGGTAAGACAAGTTTAGGCTAAACCACATGCATAGGAATTAAGATCGTAAAATGGCCAACTTAATCTAACATTGCATGCATGACTGATTTCCAACAATAAATTCCAATGCTCACAATAAGATTAGTCACTAAACAAGGGTCCCTCACTGTTGACCCCTATACCTCAAATCACACAAGAAAAGACCCAAACTGGTGAATAAACCGATATGCCCGCGCACGTCACTTGAAGGATCAAACGACCTTTGATTGCCAAATGGACAGTGGCATTGCGATCAGAACATCGAATTCTGCTAGGTCGAGGCCCCTCGCAATTGAATAAGACGAGATCGGCCAAAAGGAATAACTGACACCTGAAATTAAAGCGCAAGGCTAATCAAACGACGTCCGATCGAGAAACGGACTGCGTCATTGCGACCGAAACGTCGGCAATACCCTAAATGCACTATCAAATTGTTCTTTTGAAGATGTGCACGCAAATCGAGGTGGCCCCATGTAAAAATCACCCTCGACGTCGCCCAAACGACGTCCGATCGAGAAACGGACTGCATCGTTGGGACCGAAATGTTGAAAATACCCTAAATTCACTATTTATTTGTCTAATTTTGATATTCGACGAATTCGACACGTTAAACGAGACAATCAACACGCAAAATGAGAAAATTGCACGCAAATCGAGGCAGCCTTTGACTGATTGATACATCTTTGTCATGTTAAATTAATGCGTGAATGACTAAACTCTAAAGCATTAATATGGCATTAACCAAATAAATTTTTACAAAATAACAGGTGCTGAATGTGGAAAGAAGTCAAATTCACATTAATACCTTGTTATGTCCAAATCACGTTGTCAAACTGTCTCCTTGTCACTCGTTACAACTGGCTTTGCCCTGTCGTTAAATCAAAGACAAGAAAGAGTTCAAAAAGGCCCTTCCTCCAACTCAAGCAGAGGCCTGATCTCACTTTTTCTTTCTTCTGTTTGCCGAAGCAGCTACCACGATTCAACCTCCCCACTCCACGAACTTCAGGCCGAAATCCCACACTCTTCCTTCTCTCTCTTATTCGCAAGCCATATAGCTGTGCACAGAACTCCTCTTCCAACCAAAATATAGCAGCTGTCGATTTCTCCCATTGAGCTATTGTCCCTCCACTCAACTCCCTCTCCTCTTCTTCATGCAAGCAAACCGTCCGTCCAAGATTTGCAGACTGAATTGAAAAAAAAAAAAGAGAGCAGGCCTTCACACTAGCCGAACATATCAGAGCAAACTACGGCACTTTCGTTCAGTCCAGCAGCACCTGTGCTAACTTTTCTTTTTCTTCTTCACGCTCAAAATACTTGCTTCGTCACTCCTCCAAACAGCAAACTGAAACTGCTGTTGTGATTCTGCTCAGAGCTAATTCTCCACTGTGCTGTGAAGTTCCTCCGTTCTCAAGGAAATGAGTCTTCTTTCCACTCCTATCCTGTTTGTATGTGATAAGCCGTATGCCTCATACATCAGCTAGTTTGTAATTTCTCTCAAGTTATAGAAAGAAAGAGAGAGAGGGAATCTTAGTTAAAGCTGACATTTCTGTTTCATTTATTCCAGCACATGTATCATGTTTTACTTTTCTTTTTCACTAGCCAACAACATTGTCATTTACATTTTCTCTGTTTTATTGATCAACTTTAATCATTTAAGGCGTCAGTCTTGTCCCCTTGCTCTCAGCCTTATATCAGAGAACAAAATTTGTGAAAAAAAAAAACCATTACTTCAGTCCGAAGTAGTCCACCTCTAAAGCCCACAACACTCTCCAAAACAACCCACTTTATCATCCTAACTCCTATCCAGAACCCAATATTTCAAAGCCCATTAGCCTTTAGCCAAATCTACTTCACAAGTTCACTACATTCTTCATATAATCTGCATAAAACCCACTGTTTTAATCCAAATGACCCTCTCCAAAGACCCAAAACAGTCCATTCCACTCATAAAACCACCCAAATCTGCATAGGTTAAAGCCCACTCTACAACTTCAGCCTTCCTGGAATCCAAAACCCATAAAAAACCCCACATAAAGCTCACTGCAGCTCACTGTTCCACCAAAAATAAAACCAAACAGCAAGTCATCCCATAGTCGTGGCTTGATCACTTAGTTCTCCAACCATCACTAATCAGCCCCAAATCCCAAAACCGTTGGCTCATATTTCATTTCTTTTTATTTTCATTGTTAATTGGTCTTACTTGCTTTCAATCATTCATTTTGTTAAATGGGTAGAGAATATGTTCATGTGCTCATATGTATATAAATGTGCTTATGTGAATGTACATTTGTGTGTGTATGTATGTGTGTCCAAAAAAAAAAGAGAAGGAGAAGTTTCCAAAAAAAAAAAGAGAGTTCCAAAAAAAATAAAATAATAATAATAAAAAAGTGGTGGAATGTTGTACACTTCCTTTTCTATCATTGTCGCCGACCCCAAAGGTATAATCTCCAAAACTCAAATTTCTCATTCTCGTCATTTGTGGCGGACTGAGGAACCACCTATACGCGCTCTCGTAGCACGGTAGGAGGGAGCCCAGTGCGACACCTATAATGAGGCGGGTAATCACCTAAAACTCAGATTTCCCATTCTCGTTGTTCGTGGCGGACTGGGGAACCACCTATACGCGCTCTCGTAGCACGGTAGGAGGGAGCCCGGTGCGACGCCTACGACGAGCGGGTAATCACTTTAAATCCCATTTTCGGCGTTTGCGACGGACCAGAGAACCACCTATACGCGCTCGCGTAGCACGGTAGGAGGGAGCCCGGTGCAATGCATATGACGAAGTGGGTAAGCCCTATACACGCTCTTGTAGCATGGTGGGGAGAGCCACTTGTGTTCTTCATACGGGTACTTTTGAAGACCCCATACACGCTCGCGTAGCGTGGTGGGATGAAAGATGTACGGCCCGGTGTCCCCCGACACCTACCATACACGCTCGAGTAGCGTGGTGGGATGGCCCAGTTGCCCGTGGTTTTCCCCTAAACGGGGGAGACGCTGGGAGGCTGCCGAAATTTTCAGTGAATCATGGACATGACTTGGACAAAATGTGGACAATTTGAACTTGAGCTCATATTTGTATTTGAGAAAATAAAAGGATCCTAATTCAATTTAAACAATAAATGAACTTGCAAATCAAATGAGATAAACAAATATTTGAATATTTGAACAAATGACAAGAGGACTTGATTTGGGACTGCAGTGGACATGAACTTGAATTTAACTCAAACTGGAGTTGGAAAACAGAGGACTTGAACAAATGCGAAAGAGCTCGAACTCAAGTTGGACTTGATTTGAACATTAAGCCGACATGATTTGAACATTAAGCCGACATGACTTGAACATTTGAACTCAAGCCAAGACTTGAGTTGGACCACAGGGGACTTGGACTAGATTTGAACCATTTGAACTTGACATTGAACGAATAAAAGACAATGAAAATTAATATTGAATTTTAACAAGATGAAAACTTTAATCATACAGATAAAGATCAAGTGGAAAATGCTATGACATGTTTACACTTAACGATACAAAGTTTTTAATGAACATTAAGGAATCATCATTTCATTAAGAAATCAAATGTCATTAAGCAACTCTATCATGTATACTTTGTTGATTTTTGAGGAAGGAAGTGAATGGAGGGCTTAACCTTTGATTTACTTCTTGAGAATGAAGAAAAAGCCCTCAAATCTCCAACTCCATCTTCCTTTTTCTTAGAAGGGCCGCCTGCAGGGAGCTTGGGCTCGTTGGAAGAGGGGCGACGGGCCGTGCGATTGAGTCGCACGCAAGGGATAGGAGTTCCACCCCCTTCCCTCTCTCTTCCTCGCGTTTTTTCTCCTCTCTTCAGGACGGGCCGAACGAAGAAGCAACGGGGGAGCCGATCGCTCCCCCTCTCCCTCCCGCGCTCTGTCTGGGACGGAACCAAAACGGGGGAGCCGAATGCTCCCCCTCTCTTCTTGCGTGCTCTTGGAGAGCACAAGCAGCAGCCAAAAGCCGCCGCCCCAAATGGACCAATCCCCCCTCTCATGCGTGAAATGAGAGGTTTTAGGGAAGCTTTTACATAAAATCTAAGCCGTCCGTTTCGTTTCCAGATTTAGGTATTTGATTTAGCCTAAATCAATCAATTGGGACTGAAATTGAGTCCGAATCAAACTCGACTCTGACCGATTTGGGTCGGTTTGGGTCTGAGTGGGTCCGATCAAGTTCATTTTGTGAAATTAAGCTTGAATCGGCGCCAAATTGCGTCAAATTGGGCTCGACGACACTCGATGGGGTTCGATTGATTTTTATTTGATTTTAATTTAATTAAATTGGGTTTAATTTAATTAAATTGAGGCTTAATTCGGATTAATTTTGCCTCGACGATGATCGATTGAGTTGATCGAGCGCGATCGAGCCTAGTCAGGTTCGATCGGGGTCGAGTCGATGCGAAAATATTCGTCAACAAACTTATTTTAGGCAAGGGATTAAATCTGATTTGATTTTAGATTTAAAAATTGGGGTTTTCTAAAATAAGTCTTCTTGTTTAGGAAAGATATTTGAATTTAAAATTCATTCGAATTTGAAATTCAAAACCTTCCAAATTGACAATAACTTATTTTAGGTAAGTTAGAGGTCAGGGGTAAAGGAGGGCCGGCGATAATGGCTTGGAGGTGGATGGCCGGGGCTGATTGGGGGTGTGGCTGATGGTTTTGAAGGTGGCGGGTGGAGGTAGGGCTTTGGAGGTGACCGGTGGTGTGGTATCCGGGGAGGGGACGAAAAGGTGGAGGAAGATGTCTTGGTGGTTTGGGGGTGGGAGAGGGAAGGGTTGTATGAGTGGCCAGCGATTTTATGGGGTTGGAAGCTTGTGAAGGCCGACGGTTATGAAGGTTGAAGCAAAACTAGACCGATGGCTAGGGAGGGAGGAGGAGAAGAGATAAGAGAAAGGTAAGGAAGAACCATGAACCCGAACGCTTCCAAGGTTGGTTGGTGGGTATTGCGTTGCCCTTCACCAAGGGACTTTCTCAAAACTCTCTCCAAGAACTCTCAAACTCTCGCAAGAGTAAAATGCAGAAATTTTCATAATAATCTTCATTCCCCTCAAGGGAGGAGAGGAGGGCTTTAAATAGCCAATACATTGTGACAAATAAAAAGTACTAAAATGCCCCTAGGGCTTACACGTCTCTAAACCCTTAAGTAAGGGAAAAAGTGGAAAAGAAAACACAATCATAAACAAAACAAATACATCAAATAATAAAATGAACATAAAACAAAGTAGAGCGGATGTCCTCATTAGGGATCTTTCCACTTGTTCGTTAGGTCTTCTAAAATTATTTTGATATAGAGTAACTCATATATTCTCAAGGCCATAGCTCTATATTTTTCCTCTGTACTTGATCTTGCCACAACATTTTGTTTATTGCTTCTCCATGAAATTTGGTTCCCTCCAAGAAATGTGCAGTATCCAGAGGTAGATCTTCTGTCTACTGGTGCTCCTGCATAATCAGCGTCAGTGTATGTTTCTAGAGTCTAGAGTCATTCCTTGATTTCTACTAAAGAGAATCCCTTTCCCTGGGTTTCTCTTGAGAATATATGAGGGAGTTACAACTTGCATGTGTGCTTGTTTTGAGTTTTGGATAAACTGACTGACCATACTTACAACAAATATTATATCTGGTATAGTATGGGAAAGGTAGATCAATTTTCCCACTAATCTCTGATATGAACCTTTGTCTACATCTTGATCTCCTTTAGCTTCCCTTAATTTGAGATTTGGTTCTACTGGTGTTGGTGATGGTTTGCATGCTAGTTTTCCTGTCTCCTTTAAAAGATTTTTAATGTATTTTTGTTGTGAGATGAAAATTTTCTTACTAGAGTGAGCTACTTCAATTCCAAGAAATTATTTTACCCTACCAAGTTTTTTTGACATCAAATTCCTTGGTAAGATTTTTCCTTAGACTTTCTTTCTCTTTTTTATTATTCCCATTTAAGATAATATGATCCACATAGAACAATAGTATGGTAACTCCCTCTGAGTCTGAGTGTTTAAAGAATAGTGTATAATCTTCTTGACTTTGTTTATATCCATTAAGATGCATGAATTTTGAGAATCTTTTGAACTTGGCCCTTGGTAATTGTTTGAGCCCATATAGAGAGTTTTTTAATCTGCACACCTTGTTATCTCCATATTTTTCCTTAAACCATGGTGGTATTTTCATAAATATTTGTCCTTCCAGATCTCCATGCAGGAATGCATTTTTTACATCCAATTGTTCTAGATGCCAGTTGTACTCGACTGCTGTGAGAATAGTATTCTTACAATGTTCATATTGGTTATAGGTGCAAAGGTTTCTTGATAGTCAATACTATATGTCTGAGCGTACCCTTTCGCCACTAGTCTTATGTTGTATCTTTTCAGTGTGCCATCAACTTTGTTTTTTACAGAGAACACCCATTTGCAGCCAACCAGTTTTTTTCCTATTGGTAAATTGATGATCTCCCATGTATTGTTCTTGGATATGATTTTCCTCTATCTTGGCTTTGAATATGAACATAGGCAATGTACCCAAAGATTTTGGGTGTAAGATTATGAAGGGTTCGAAACTAGGGGTAAAATGAGGACAAAATCTCCATTGGACTTTTGAGTCATAGGGCTGCTGAAGGTAGTCGGTTTATGAGTTAAGTTATAGTTAGGAGAGCTTCCCCCCAATAGGATTTAGGTGTATTATAGTGGAATATGAAAGCTCGGGTGGAGGCTAGAAGGTGATAATTTTTCCTCTCTGCAACCCGTTTTATTGTGGGGTGTGAACACAAGAGGACTCATGGATGATCCATTCACTTTGGATGTAGGAGGAAAGGGTTTGGTTGAAATAGTCTTTTGCATTATCAGAGCGAAATCCCTTTATTTTTATCCTGAATTGATTTGTTTTTATTGTATAAAAAAGGGGAAGAATAATGCTAACTTCGGATTTATTTTGTAGGAGAGATCCAAGAGACTCTAGTGTAATCATCAATGAATGATACAAACCAGCGTGCCCCAGAGATATTGGGGATTTTTTAGGATCCTAATATATCACTAAAAATAAGGTAGAAAGGAATATCAAATCTCTTATTTTTATTTGGTGAGGAAGTTCTTTTATGTTAGCTAACTCATAAATTTCACAATGAAAATGTTTATTTTCTTATTTCTAAAAAAGTTGTTGATACATATATCTTATGACATCAAAAGATGGGTGTCCTAACCTATAATGATGAAGCCAAATAGTGGAATTCTTATCAACTAGGGATAACATAGAGTAGCTATTTTTAGATTAGTTTAGTTCTTCCAGGTAGTACAGTCCATCATTCTTCTTAGCACGTCCAATCTTCTTCCCCGATCTCTGGTCCTGAAATAAGCAATAAGTAGGGTTAAGTAAAGCTTGACAATTATGATCATTAGTAAGTTTTGTATTGATATTAGGTTTATGAATAATTGAGGCATATGGAACACATTTTTTAGGGTGAGTGAGGGAGATAATGTTATGTCTCCTTGGCCTACTACCGTTGTAAGAGAACTAGTAGCAGTGATGATTTTTAGCTACAGCAATAAAGGCCGATGATCCCAGCCCCCCTTTTTAGAGGAAATAACTGGCCAGTCTTTTTAAGACTTGGATCGAGTAGCTAAGGCACACAAGTAGAAATGTTTCGGAGCTCTTTCTATTTGTTTCTATTTGCATTCGTTGCTTCGTAGGAGGTGTGTCGCTTCTTCGGCAATGCTTCGCTTTCTTCTTCTTGTCCTCCTCCGATGATCTATGATCGTTCTACAATGGCAATGAAGGCCGTTGGCTCTAATACCATGTTAAAACTAGGAGTTTTAGAGGAAAAAGCTTAATTTATTATACAATATACTCCCTATTTATAGATCTATGCAACAGGTCTAATGAAGAAATAAATAACTATAAAATAATTAATAATTGCTGAAATAAAACACTTTCTAAATCAGATGTCTAGCTATGGAAGATACTAAATGTGTTTTTAGAAGGCTTCCCACGGATCTATCTTTGTAGTCGTTAGATCTATGAGGGAACTGAGGGCTGAGATTTAGCACTTATTATTCTTTATTGTTGACCTCCATATAATACACAAAGAAAAAAATGAAAACGAAATGTATACCTGCTGCAATCCATTGGGTCCACGAATATTGCCGGAAATCCCGTCAAATCACTGTACATGCGGCGCCGTTCCGAGAATCCTGCTAAAAATCTACGATCTCACCTCGAACGAGCACCCAAGTTGCCTTTAAATGCCGAACCAACCCCATGGCTTTCGGCTGCTCTTCTCCTTCCACGAACACCTCCCGATCTCCAGCTCTCTCCCGACCGACCCCCATAGTCGAACAAGAGCCGAGCTCTACTGCATCTCCACCTCAACCCTCTGCCGACGCCACGAGCAACTCCGACCCGACCAAGCATTGTAAGGAGGGAAACCGGTGCGGCGCTTGCGGCGAAGGGGATAAAAAAAAAATATTTTTATTTATTTTTATATAAGTAGCCCCGAACGCTCACGTAGTGCAGAGGGGGGAAATCTGTGCTTATTTCTAACATTTACTTTCTTTTTGTAATAATATAAAAAAACCCTTAAATGCTAATGTAGCGGGCGGGGATAAAAAAAATTGCAACCGCGGTGTCTTTTGACACCTATCTGAAGCGTTCACGTAGCGTCAAGGGGAAGGTTGCCTCTTGGTTTTTCCCCTAAACGTGGGAGACGCCGGGAGGCTGCCGAAATAGTGTCACGGATGGGACATGTAAACCTGGGTGATGACTCTGAATCAACAGATGAATCTTTGGATGCAACAATGGCTGACTCTGAAGAGAACATCCAGTTAAATGAGTTTAGGCCAGAAGAGGTTGATCAAGTGCAACTAAGGAGTGTTAAAATATTGCTGCCTCCACCAAAGAAAGGGATCTTGAATAAAGATAAGGGGAAAGATAGTCATCAATGATGATATTATTCCTGAAGATCCTAAGAGAAAAAGTAATTCAGCCATAAAGGGTAGATTATAATGTCTTATCCCATCTGAGAAAAATTTCAGCGCAACTCAGTATATACGATGCCTTGGTAATGTCTAAAGACCTTCGGGAAACTCTGATTTAGGCTCTCAAAGATCCCGAAAGATACGAGACATATTTTGCTGAACGTAATTTGACTGAGAGTCCATAAGCTCGTAATGAGCCGTTCGTCACCTTCTCTGAAGAAGACAGGATGCTCGGAACGGCAGATCATAATCGCCCTCTGTATGTTACTGCAGAAAGTGATGGGATGGTGATTAGTCGAATCCTGATTGATCCAGGATCATCCATAAATCTAATGAGCTTGAAAGCACTAAGATCATTATGTCTTGATGTGGAGCATATTGGGTCAGATAAGTTAATGGTATATGGATTTAATGAGAAAGGGCAGAAGACCCTGAAATCATTTACGCTCTCTCTCACATTTGGAGAACTTCGTACAGATGCCAAATTTCATGTGATTGATGCAGATACTTCCTTTAAAGCACTCCTTGGCCGCCCCTGGTTGCATGAGTACGACATCGTCCCATCAACACTATGCCAATGCATGAAGTATCTCAGGGATGTAGAAGAATTCAGAATATCTGGTGACATTCAACCTTTTGCAGTTCATGAGGTGAAGATATTTGAAGATGCAAAGTACTTCATTCCAAAGAAGCTGAAGCCGTTGAGCTCTCTTGAGGCACAAGTATCGAAACCAAAAGTTGCAAAACAACCTAGACAAGAAACCAAGAGGAAGAAGGTGGGGAGAAAGAAGGCAACGCCGACTCTTCCCAAGGCATCTACCACCCCAAAAGAAAGAAGATACGTACCTCACCTAGGAAGTGACACGGATGAAGATGATGTCACACTTACAAAATCTCAGAGGATACGCCAATTAACAACCAAAAGGAGTATGGAGGTTGAATACTTAAATGATGATTATGACTACGATTCTATCTATATGAACACAATTCAGGATGTGTTCTCCAGAAGAATAGATAGCCTGTCAATCTCAGATAGTGTACTCGTAGTCACACGCATTCTTCTGCAACACTTCAAAGAAGTCACTCCGCGAGAAGTGCATTGTGTTGAAGAGCTCGTGACATTCTATGTACCTCACCCAAAAGAAAAAGGTGGACCAGCGAGTCTATTTTATTCGATCGGGAAACTCGAAGAGGAGATAAATCGAGATTGATTTCGTACACTCGTTGATTCTGGGGAATTATTACCTACTAGGTTTCCCAGGTACAATACTAGAAATATTCAAAGAATGTTGCGAAAGCGAGGTAAAACTCATTCCTCCAAACAGCAAGTTCGTTTCTGCTTGAGCCTCTAGCATCGAAGAAATCCCCACTCAATAAAGGATATTTTTGCGAAAAAGGGTCTAGGATTTATTATACAAAAGTACCCCAGAAACGAGATTTGCCGAGCAATCACATGTGGGGAAATTAAATCAGATGATGATGGTGATGAGGAGGCGTAGGAAGTTGATGATTATGATGATCAACCAGTTGAGGCCAAACCTACATTAGAAGAGCTTGACGATGGTAGACAGGCAGCCACTATGGATAAGCTAAAAGAAGTTAACTTGGGAACTGAGGAGGATCCTTGTCCAACCTTCATTAGCTCCCTTCTACTAGAAGAGCAAGTGGAGGAAATAAAAGAACTTCTTTGTGAATTTAGGGATTGCTTTGCCTGGACATATGCTGAGATGCCCGGCTTATCTTCTGATGTGGAAGTTCACAGATTGGCCATCAAATCAGATTCATCACCTATCAAACAAGCTCTAAGTAGAATGAGGTTGGAGATTAAAGAGCAAGTGATTGCTGAAACAAAGAAGCTTATAGAGGCAGGCTTTATCCGAGAAGAAAAATATGCCGATTGGATCGCAAATATCGTCCCAGTGAAGAAGAAAAATGGGCACATTCGTATCTGCATTGATTTTAGGGACCTCAATAAGGCATGCCCAAAAGAAGACTTTCCGCTTCCTGTATCAGAACTACTAGTGGATAATACGTCAAACTATGACATGTTCTCATTTATGGATGAGTCGTCAGGATACAATCAAATTAAGATGGCGCCTGAGGATGAAAAACACACATCATTCAGGACGCCCATCAGCATTTTCTGCTATACGGTCATGCCCTTTGGTCTGAAGAACGCTGGTGCCACTTATCAACGGGCGATGACGTGTATATTTGATGAGTTAATACATCAAAAGGTCGAGTGCTATGTGGATGACCTTGTTGTCAAGAGCATGGATCGAAGAAATCACTTAGATGATCGAAGAAATCCCCTCAAGTGCGCTTTTGGGGCCTCCGGCATGTTTCTTCTACGTTGTTCATCATCGAGGAATCGAGATCGACCCCAACAAAATCAAAGAATCATAGAGATGCCGCCTCCCAGAAACCTTTGACAACTTCGTTCTTTACAAGGACAACTGGCTTTTATTCGGCGGTTCATATCGTACCTGTCGGGCAGGTGCCAACCATTCTCGAAGTTGATGAAAAAAGACATACGCTTCAAATGGGATACATAATGTCAGGAAGCATTTGATAGTATCAAGAGTTATTTGTTAAATTCGTCTATTCTCGCAATGCCAATTTCGGGGAAGCCTCTTATACTGTATACAGCAGCACTAGAAGAGTCCCTCAGAGCATTATTGGCCCAGAATAATGAAGGAAAGGAAAACGCACTCTACTACATCAACCGGAGATTGATCGGAGAAGAAGTGAGATATTCCCCGAATAATAAGTATCAATAGTGCGGGCGAAGGCCGGGGCCGATTTTTTGGAGACCACAGATTTCTGGCGACTCCGGTGGGGATTAGTTTCTCTTTCCATCTTTGGCTAGTCGTCTAAATGCTATAGTAGCAGCAAAAAAAAGTAACGATAATATTGAGCTCTATACGGTGAACATCAGGATGTGACACTTAATGTCTATATCCAAAAATCCTTCACTGAAAGGTCCCAATAGTGGGAAAAGCAACTATTTATTTTGATAGAAGGGCAAAAAAATAATCAATATATAAACGGTGAGCATCTGGGTGTGACACTTGGACGTATATCCAAGAATCCATCACTGAAAGGTCCCGACATAAGTGAAAATAAATATGGAGATCCACATATCCAGAAAAAAAAATATTCAAAGAATGGTGTGACATTTAGTGGGAACCCCTAGAGATCCATCATTAAAGAAATTCATTAAAAGTGGGTCCCAAAGAGAATCCCTATAGATAATGTCCTTGATGGTCGACACCTTGAAGAATCCTTCAATAAATTCCATCACTTTTTAAATATATCCTCTCAAACTGAGGAAGATCTTCACCAAGAATAATAGAGAGTGTCATACAAAGATGACATAAGCGCTATGGGCATACCATACAACGTATAAGATGCCAACCAGAGCCACTTCTTATTCACTGGTGTTTGGAGTTGAAGAAGTATTGCCACTGGAAGTTGAATTACCGTCACTTTGGGTAGCAATCCAGAATAATCTCACTCAAGAGCAAAATGCTCTCCTGAGAATGGAAGAGCTCGATGCACTCGGCAAAATTAGACTGCAAGCTCAACAAAACCTGAAAATCTACCGATCGAGAATGATAATGTCTTTTGATCGAATGGTGCATCTTCGATAATTTCAAGAAGTAAAATTGGTCATGGTGCGTAGAAGGCCAATCATCTCACACAGAAAAAATTGGTGGCAAGTTCGTTACCAATTGGGAAGGTCCCTTTGTCATCGAGAAGGTTTATCAAGGAGGAGCATATCATTTGATCAATCTAGACGGATGTAGGCCTATGCCGCCGATCAATGGCCGACATTCAAAGAAGTATCATGCATG